ATAAATAAATTGTCCCAAATGAAAAAAATATAATTTTTGAGCATTGTAAATCATGCAATTGGCACTTTGACCATCACATTATTACCATGTCATTGGTAGGAGAGCGCAGAACTGACAACGATTGATTGGACTGATTATTTTCTTCTGAAATAGAGTATAGATTATTTTACCTTACCTGTGGTAGTATATTTTTACCTGATATTCGTATAACTATTCTAGATTTTTATGTAATATTGTGTATTTTTATGTTACTGAGAACAGAACCTGCAACAACTTCAATTGAAAATGAATCAATTCATTCATTAATTTTAGTAACCAATACCATTAAAGAGGTATTAAATTWATTAGATAAGTTAATGCTAAATTTAAGTTGTTAAGCACTGTCTAWTATACATACTATTAAAAAAAATTAGTGTCGGTAGATGAAATACTGATATTATCTGCAATATACTGTCATCATTTTAGAAGGAGGGTTTCCATTGGCTTATTAGTAACAATAAAAGTCTAGGGTTGTAGGAAATTCAAAAGTGTTGTAAAATTATTGAAACCATCTCTCAGTTACTGAACTAAAATTCCTTCAATGATTTCCTACTACCTTCTCTGTAATAATTAATAACTATAATAAGTATAAATATTTTTTYAGTTCRTCAGAAATTAAAAAACTAACACCTTACCTGCTTGAATATTTATTTAATCGATAATAATAAAACRTTATTTGTAATCATTAATTGTATGTATTTGTTATGTTATAGGGAATAGAATCTGTAACAACTGCTACTAAAAATGAATCAATATCATTAAGCGTTGCAGAAAAAACCACTAAAAAGGTAGTATATTAATTGTACATATGGGATTTACTTAATCTCATATATACTTTATATTGTGTCATGTTTAAATAGTTTCCTTCAAGAAAAAAAAAATGTGGGRATAAAATATCTAAATCGRATGCAAAAAAGATTGTGTAAGTGTATAAGTAATGATATTATTAAAGTTTCATTTAAAAATAAACTTTAATTGTAGATCAAAAAAACAAAACATGTG